GGATTTTACCCAAAGCAACCGTAGCGTAAAATATTATCATAAAAAAATAGAAATTGCTATGACCCAAGCAAACATGAAGCCACCATAGCAAGATTTTGGTGGGACTTAACCAAAAAATAGCTAACACCGTAGAGCTATAACATTATATTGACATAGACGATATGGTCCACATGGTTATGAAAGTAGAGAAGCAACTTAGACGAAAAGGCACATCGCCATTTTACAACAATACTACAGCTAAATGGAGACAAGGTTCCTACAGTAAGAGTTCTGCTTTCCAATCCAAGGGAAGAAGTGGACCCTCGAAGCCAGACAAGTCCAATATGGGAATTTGCCAAGGAAAGTAGGATAAAATTAGTAATTATAGAATTGAAAAGTATTTATATAATTTTAAAATTGATACTTTAAAAATATAAATAAAATTCACAAACTGTCGGTGGTAAAAAGCCACCTAATATACACATGGCATGGAGTAAAAAAGTGGGAAGTGATTACAATCCGGCGAAAGTGGAGGAAATTAAGGAAAAGACAAAATAAAATCCCCTAAACATCGACTTAAAAGTTCAAATGAGAAGACTAAAAAATTTATATAAATAAATTTATATATTTATCTAAAAAATAATATATAAATAAAATCCCCTAAGCTTTTGATATTGTGTTGTTTGTATTTGAGTATTGTTTTTTAATATATAAATAAATTTATATATTTATCTAAAAAATAATATATAAAAATTAAAGCAGTAGTAATTGTCTGACACCACTGATTGCTCTCAAAAACTGATTTTTGTCTCAGGGGTAGCTGTTTCCGTTATCTCTGAGCAATGAAGCACAGCTGCAATATCAGCCATAAAATTCTGGGTTCCTTGATATTGATACTCATATTCAAATTGCTCATCTACAATGGAGATTTCAAACACGTTGCAAATTCAGTTTTCTTGGGAAAGTTCAGATTTCCAGGAAACCTTGAGGAACGTGATGAAGAAGAAGTTAAGCTACCACCAAAAGACTGTGATCTCTTCAATGGGAAATGGGTTTTTGATAATATAACCCATCCATTATACAAAGAACATGACTGTGAGTTTCTCTCAGAACAAGTTACTTGCATTAAAAATGGAAGATCAGATTCTCTTTATCAGAACTGGAGATGGAAACCCAGAGATTGTTCTTTGCCCAAGTAAGTTTATCACTTGATAACATTTTTTTCTTGGTTATATGACTTAGTTTCTGAGCTGTTCTTTTCTTGATTTTTTGAGATTCAAAGCGAGATTATTGCTTGAGAAACTCCGGGGTAAAAGGATTATGTTTGTGGGGGATTCACTGAATAGAAACCAGTGGGAATCCATGGTTTGTCTACTTCTTCAATCTGGTATTTCTATTGGGAAGAAGAGCCATGAAAAATCCGGTTCTTTAGTTTTTTACCGCATTCAGGTATATTGCTTCACTACTTTCAATTCCAGATCTTTGTAAAAGTTTCAAGTTTTTACTCAAATTCATTCATTCCGGCTGAAATATTATCTGTTGAGGTCTTGTTTTGCCGACAATTTTATGCATAAATTAATAAGGGGAAAAGTGCACCGACGGTTCTTCGAGTATAAGATGTAGATTTGTTGAGTAATTCAATTATTAAAAGTTATAAAATAATCTATAATTATAATGTGTTATTTTGTTGAGTCATTCAATTATTAAAAGTTATAAAATAGTCTATGATTATAAGGTGTTGTTTTGTTGAGTTAAGAAGGATTTGTTTTATTGAGTCAATGACTATTAAAAATTATGAAATGGTCGTCCGATTATTTATATGTTTCAAACTTGTTATTTTTTATTAAAAATTATCTGGCATAACATTAGGTATCGACCAGGGATTTAAATTACGTTTACGGTCGCGTTTTGGTTGGGTTGCATTTATCGCGATTGTAAATATAATGAACGCTATTACAGATATTGTTGTCATGCAATAATCGTATCGGACGACACTGTTATTGCTATATAGCGAACGTTATTATAGTTGTGAACTGCTTTTTAAATCTCTGGTATCGACATGACATAATGTGTCTATAACTCAAACGGTTATGGTATCAAATTTTATCATATCCCAGATAATAAGTTAACGTCCAGTTCAGACGATCATGAACTTTTAACTGAAAAAGTATAAATTTAAAATATAAGAATAGTTGGAGAACTCAACAAAAGAATTTTCTATAATCGGGATATTATTTTGTAATTTTCAATAGTCGAGATTCAAAAGTAATAACTCATATTTGGGACTCAAAGTAGTACCTCATAGTCGAGGTACCATTTGTATGCTTTACCCATTAGTCAGATTAAACTAAGTTTTCATTGCAAAATTTATGCTCATTAATGACTTGAAGATGATATCCCATGCTCCATTATTGATTCCTTCAACAATTTCGTCTGCTGTGAATTAACATCCTTTTAAGGCCTCTGAATGTGACATTTATGTCTTGAATGCTGCATAGGAGTACAACACCACAGTGGAGTTCTATTGGGCACCATTTCTCGTCGAATCGAATTCGGACAATCCGTGGCAACACAGTATTAAAGACCGTATAATCAAGCCGGAATCGATCAAGAACAATGGAGATGATTGGAAAGGTGTAGATTACTTGATTTTCAACTCATATATTTGGTGGATGAACTCCGGATATATGAAAGTCCTGTAAGTATATATCAGAAACCTTTTGATTCTGCTATAAACTTTAACCATCTGTATGAACTTAAATCGTCTTCGACGTGATGAAAAGGCAAGGATCGTTTGATGTAGAACCGGTGGAATACATTGAAGTCGAACGGCCTATAGCTTATGACAGAGTTGTGAAAACATGGGCTAAATGGGTCGAGGAAAACGTCGATTCGAAGTTCACGTCGGTCTACTTCATGAGCATGTCACCTACTCATTTCAAGTTAAAACATATCCTTGAAACTTCTTTTTTGTTAAACAAATTTATTATTCAGATTATACTTAATTCTGCCATTGTTCATCTTTTGATTGAAAACAGGAGTTTGGATTGGGACAATCCTGATGGGATTTTATGTGCAAAGGAGAGTCTTCCGATGGCGAACTTGTCGATTCCTCCACCAAATGTTGGCACAGATCATAGAGTATTGGGGATAGTTGCAGATGTGATTCAATCCATGAAAGTACCTGTTAACTTCGTCAATATTACGGCCATGTCCGAGTATCGGAAAGATGCACATACATCGGTTTATACAACCCGGCAAGGGCAGTTGATGACACCAGAGCAGCAAGCAGATCCAGCTACATACGCAGATTGTATACATTGGTGCCTACCAGGGTTACCTGATACATGGAATGAACTCCTCTACGCACATATCATTTTACACTCTTGATCACCTACAATTTATTTTCGTTTAAAATAGGAATTGAAAATGATTTGTTAAAGAATTCTTGAACTTGGGTTAACTGTCGCATGAAATATATATTAGATATAAGTGTGTTTCCAAATGTACGTATTAGGAGAATTATACTTTAATATTCATGTCTTAAATATGTTTGACATGAATAGTTTTATGAACAAAATGGAGTTCAAACTTCACAGTATTATGGCTCTTTTTAATAATAATAAAAAAATCATTCAAAAATGGAATAAGGGAGACTGGGAGAGGCATTCTCATGTTGAGATCCCTTGAATAAACTTGGTTCGTATTTTATCCTTTAATATTGGAGGATCATAAATTTATATATACGTCTTCCGAAAAATTATTATTGTTGGAAAATGAGTGAATTTTATTGATGAATTTAATATTTAAATTAAATTCATGTATCTTTTTTAATATTATAAATTAAAATATAATTTTAATTTGAATAATGAATATTAGTAGGACAATTATTCTTTGAATATATGAAATTAAAAGGTATTTGTTACGTATTTAATTTTGAATATTAAAGATAATTATATCCTTTTGAATATTTTAAATTAAAATAATATCTATTTAAGTTTAAATAGTAAAATGTGACTTTATCTTTTGAATATTTTTCGTATATGATCTTACGTGAATATCATGATTGAAATAATTCCATTTCATTTTGATTTGGTAAACTCTCATTAGGGATGGTAACGGGACGGTTTCAGGTCGGGGATTGGTCCCCCGTCCCACCCCGTTTAAAAAATCCGTACCCGTCCCCGTTTAAAAAATCGCAGGGATTTAAACGGGGATCCCCATCGGGTAATCGGGGAAAACCGCGGGGAAACGAATATCCCCGTTTAACATAAATGGTTATTTAAAAGAGTATCGGGTCGAGTATATATATTTCAATTAAATATATAAATATTTTTAATTTAAATTAAATTTATTAATATTTTATATATATATATATATAATAATTATTTTTAATATTTATCGGGCCGTGTATTCAGGGAGGGAATTACCAAACCCGTCCCCATCCCCGTTTATTATCTCCGAACCAGACCCGTTTAATTCGATTTTCGATTTTTCCCGACGGATTTGAATTTTTTTTTTACCATCCCTAACTCTCATTGAAAATGAAATCAAATGAAATATTGGTCGGGTCATTATACCCGAATTTGATGTCCATATAAAAGCCCAAGGGCCAGCAAATACGGCACCAGTAAGGCACAATTTTTACACGACCTGCTTCTCGAAGTGCCTTGGATTGGATCGCTCTTCTTCTTCTCTTTCATTTCCTTTCTCTTTTCAACTGTTTTAATTCTCTGCTTCAGATCTCTTAGCTAAGATTCAATCTCAGCCATAGACCTGATCCTAACTTTTGAATCTCCATCCGTCGATCTGAGTCACCATGGCGGCCGCGAACGCTCCCATCGCCATGAAGGAGGTCTTGACTGTCAGTCTTCTCCTTCTCCTTCTTATTCGTCTCACTCGTTTCGATTTCAGCTGGAAAATTCAACTGAATTATCGTTTATATCGATTATTAAGCTTAATCTAATGCTTCGTAAACCTTGTCAGATCCATTATCTGTAAAATATGCTTAGATCTGTTTGAAACTTCCTTTATACTCTGGATATAGTGGCGGTTTTGAGGGATCTGAAATTATATATTTTGGTTGCCGTTGCCGAGCATTGGCATTAGTCCTCAATTTATCACATTCACGAACGTATCTATGGAATCTGATAAGTATATTTGTGTTAGAGAAACCGCTCCGCAAAACAGTGTTGTGATAATTGATATGAGTATGCCAATGCAGCCGTTGAGGCGACCTATTACAGCGGACTCTGCTCTTATGAATCCGAATTCTAGAATCCTTGCTTTGAAAGGTTAGTTACTATAACTACCAGCAATTAGTTATTTGTATTGGATCACGTTAATCATGTTTCCAATTGATTGGGTTGTTAAAACTGAACAAATGAATGTGCTACCAGTTAACTGCAAGGACCCTGCTTACCCTATCGTGTTGTATGCGAAGGAGTGCTAGTGTTATGCGAACGAATGCTAGTGTTTGTAGTAGTTAACACCTCTCTACTATAGTGTTATATTGGATTATTGGTATGTATTTTTGAGAATCTGTATTTGCCATCTGTTTGTTTAGTTTACTAGGAAAAATATCAGCACTTCTAAGTGCCTTTTGGCTCTTTTCCTGTAGCAGATTTTGCTTAAATTGTGTCCAATTAGAGAAGAAAATATGCTTGAAATTCTACTCATAAAGTGCTTGACATTCATGTAAATTGCTTCAATTTTATGGAGCAGGAAATTCAATATCTTTAGTATTGCTGTCACCTTTGATTTTTCATTCATCTGTTCTTTATGCTTAGAGACTTTGACATTGATTTTGTAGCTCAACTACCGGGAACAACTCAAGATCACTTGCAAATATTTAACATAGAGATGAAAGCAAATATGAAATCTCACCAGATGCCTGAACAGGTGAAACTTATTTGTCATCACATTTTTTTTATTGTTTAAAATTCTTGTAATGTTCAATTATTCCTACCTGCCTCTCTATATTTATTTTTTCCGTTGAGAGTGAACTTCAAATCATGAGCTTAGAAAACTGTCCATGGTTAATGTCCAGGTTGTATTTTGGAAATGGATTACCCCAAAATTGCTTGGCCTGGTAACACAGACCTCTGTGTATCATTGGTCAATTGAAGGTTAGATGTTATTCAGTTAGCTTATCTTGCATGACAGGCTCTTTCAGCTCTAACAATATCTTTTGATTTTTGTCTATCGTATAAATTTCTTTGGCGTTATCCATCTCATTGCATCTCAATCCTGGCAGGTGATTCCGAACCAATTAAGATGTTTGAGAGAACAGCAAATTTAATGAACAATCAGATCATAAACTATAAGTGTGATCCTTCAGAGAAGTGGTTGGTTTTAATTGGAATTGCCCTCGGTGCACCTGAGGTATGTGTTTACTCTATCAATGCTTTCTAAGGTTGTTTAATTTTTTCTTTGAAGAAGCTGCTACTGCTTTATTTGTATTTAGTTTTGAGAATTTGATAACTCTGACAGGTAAGGTCACTTTTTAGAGGCCACAATTGGTTTTGAGAATTTGCTCTATTATTGATTATGAAATTCTCTCTTTTGAAAAATCATTTTTTGTTGCCAGTATGCAGTTCTGATTTTGATCTACGTGTCTTGCATCTTTCAGAGGCCACAATTGGTTAAGGGGAACATGCAACTTTTCTCTGTTGATCAGCAGCGTAGCCAAGCTCTTGAAGCACATGCTGCTTCATTTGCACAACTTAAGGTATGGGGATTTCTTGCACTTTACACAATTTCTCTATATAGATCTAACAAGCAGCTTATAATATCTGCTTGTTTGTATTGAGCAGGTTCCAGGAAATGAGAATCCTTCTATTCTTATTTCGTTTGCCACTAAGAGTTCTAATGCTGGTCAGATTACATCAAAGTTGCATGTAATTGAGCTTGGTGCCCAGCCAGGTCTGCTTATGTCTGTTATACTTTTGTCCTGTCCTCGTTATATATGAGAGGAAACTGAAAGTCTTTTTTGAATGCTAAATCTGAAAAATAAATTTAAGAAATAAAACAGTGTTGACATCAAGTTTTCTAGTGCCTGGAATAATAGAAGTAAGATCAGGAACTATGTTTAAAAAAGCGCCGCTTAAGCGCGATTAAAGTGCTAAGCGACTCGAGCGAGGCCCCTGGCGCTTCAGCATAGCAAAAGCACTACGAATTCATTAAGCGGTAGTAATCGGCGCTTTTGCAGCGCTTTTAGCAAAGCGCTAATCGGCGCTTAATCGCGAGTTTAGAAGATACGATTTTTGGGCTTGTTTAGGGTTTAGCGGGCTATTAGATTATCAGGCTTAGATCGGCTTTTAGTGTAGGCAGGCTAGGGTAAAAAGTGCAAGTTGATGAAGGAGATGGAAGAAGATATTGGAGTGTCTAGTGATGAAGGAGATGGTGTTGTCCGAGTTGATGACAATGACGATTTAGAGGATTTTTAGTTATAAGGAATTGAGGGTTTAGAAAAATACTTTTATTCATCTCACTTTAGACTACTTTTGGTGTAGACCATCTTTTGAGATTAATATGCTCGTATAGTCGTATGGTTAATGGTATATAAGTATTTAAGTGTTTATTACTTATAAGTAAATTGAGAATATTTTGGTGTTTAAGAACTTATAAGTTTTGAATATATGCATTGACACTTTGATATTTAAGTATTTATAAGATAATTTATAAATATTCTGTATTTTTTTGTGAATTTCGGCCTTTCTGGTGCTTCATGTGCATAAAGCGAGCGCTTTCGCTTAGCGCTTCGGCGTCTAGGACCCTAGGCGCTTTATGCTTTTTAAAACCAAGATCAGGAATTACTTTGATGTTTTGGCATGTTCAGTTGGTTGGGACACTACTTTGGAATATTTTTGTGGTTTTAATTCTGAAACCCTGTTGATTTTATTTCTATTACAAGCTCTAAAACATGATCAAGACTATTCCAAGTTAGAAAGTTAGAATTGTGATGTGGTCATTATTGCGCATTGGCTTTAAAATAAACTATTCTTTCTTAAATCCATTGTGTAGATATGATATTCCGTGTGTTACTTTGGTCTATTATGTTTCCATTCTTCTAAAGAATATATATATATATATATATATTGGCAGGTAGGCCGTCATTTTCAAAGAAACAGGCAGATCTATTCTTCCCACCAGATTTTCAGGATGATTTTCCAGTCGCAATGCAGGTAACACAATATTTCCTAGATTTTATCCTTAATTGTTTATCATTGTGCCAATATAAGACAAGGTTCTGTTTGTTAGCAGATATCCCACAAATATAGTTTGATCTTTGTTATCACCAAGCATGGGTTGCTGTTTGTTTATGATCTAGAAACAGCATCTGCTCTATACAGAAATAGAATCAGTCCGGACCCAATATTTTTAACCTCGGAAGCTACTGCAGCCGGAGGGTTTTATGCCATCAACAGGCGAGGCCAGGTGTTGTTGGCAACTGTAAATGAAGCAACAATAGTGCCATTTGTTAGCAGTCAAGTATGTTATATGGATTTTCTGTTTTGTTTTCTGGCATCAATAGGCTGACACATATCAGCTTACTACTTCTGGTTGTCCTCTGTTTCAGTTGAACAATTTGGAGCTTGCTGTCAGTCTGGCTAAAAGAGGAAACCTTCCTGGTGCAGAGAACTTAGTAAGTGGTTTAATTTCTATATTCCTATGGTCTATGGTTTGTGAATCTTTGCATTTGGAGAGGAGTAAGTGCCTGATATTGTCAACTATAGGTTTTAGTTGCTGGACAATAATATCTAAGGGGATCTATTTTAACTGGGACTCGGAGGATACTTTCTTTGTTAGATCTATCCGAGAATAATCTATTCTCAATCTTACTGCAATTTTTTGATCTTGCAGCAATGCTGAGAATGAAGATGTGATGTCTTCTCATTTCTTGATTTGCTTTAGTCCGATATTTTTTATTGTGTTCTTTCATTATGTATTACATGATTAAATTCTGTGTTGACATATTTGCTCTTACATGTTAACAGTACCGTCTAGTATAAGTTAATTCAGTTTTTTTTTGTTATTTTTATTCAGCGTAGTTCTTTCTGGTTTCTAGGATGTTGACTGTGATTTTGGATTTCTCAGGTTGTTCAACGTTTTCAAGAATTGTTTACTCAGACAAAGTATAAAGAAGCAGCTGAGCTTGCGGCAGAGTCTCCACAAGGGATCCTTCGCACACCTGACACAGTTGCCAAGTTTCAGGTCTCATTTTTCTTTCTTGTTCACATAGATACTGATTTTTTGTTTCTGGGTTGATTTTATCTGAGGCAGAATTCTTTACCCTATTGTTGTAGAGTGTTCCTGTGCAAGCTGGGCAGACGCCGCCACTGTTGCAGTACTTTGGTACACTTTTAACAAGAGGGAAGCTTAATGCATTTGAGTCATTGGAGTTATCTCGGCTTGTAGTGAACCAAAACAAAAAGAACCTTCTGGAGAATTGGTTGGCTGAAGATAAATTAGAATGTAGTGAGGAACTAGGAGACCTTGTGAAGGTCTGGTTTGTGACCACTGGAATAGAAATCTATTAGTATCTTAATCAATTTTGTCTAAGTTTCTACTTCAAGAAAGTGGTACTAGTTTGTTTTTTTTCCCTTTTCCTAATTGTTACTTTGCTTTTTCTGTAGACTGTGGATAACGATCTTGCTCTGAAAATATATATTAAAGCTAGGGCAACTCCAAAAGTTGTTGCAGCGTTTGCTGAACGTCGAGAGTTTGACAAAATCTTGATTTACTCAAAGCAGGTGATTGCTAATTCCTTTGTCTTGGCATTTTCTGGTATGATAATGAATGATCTCATTTACAGCCTATCAAGTTGGGTGATAATTTCTCCAGCTTGTTCTTGACATTAGTGATTACATTCATCAAGTATTCATGACTAAATTCCCCCCCAGGTTGGGTACACTCCAGACTACTTGTTCCTTTTGCAAACAATTCTTCGTACAGATCCACAGGTTTGTTTCCATTTTCTGTACTGTTCAGGGTTTGAGCCATTTTGTTGAAGCATGTCAAATCATACTAGCAATTGTATTAAAGCCTTCAACTTATATGAATATTCTGATCAAGTTAAAAGCTTTTTTTATTGTTTTATGACTAGTAGATGTTAATATTATGTACTTATTTATGTGATTGGATTTGGATCCGTGTGATTTCGGGTAGAAACTACCTTTTGAGAGGGATCTGAGTTATCATTTGTTTCATTTGCAGGGAGCTGTTAATTTTGCATTGATGATGTCTCAAATGGAGGAAGGTTGTCCAGTTGATTACAACACCATCACTGATCTTTTTCTTCAGGTCTGCTGCTTATTGAATTACTTGTGAAATTAACATTATTTTCTCTATGAAATACGTAACTTTGTTTTCTTATCCTTTTTTGTATTCAGAGGAACTTGATACGGGAGGCTACTGCATTTCTATTAGATGTTTTGAAGCCAAATCTGCCAGAGCATGGTTTTCTACAAACAAAGGTTATATCTTTCATGTTCTGGTTATGCTAATCTATTTTGACTTCTATTTTTCTGAAAAAATTATACTTGTATAATAATATTGTTTTCCTTGCAGGTTTTGGAAATCAATCTAGTAACTTTTCCTAATGTTGCTGATGCCATTTTAGCTACTGGAATGTTCAGTCACTATGATCGTCCCCGAATTGCACAACTTTGTGAGAAAGCTGGTCTCTTTGTGCGAGCTCTGCAGGTAATTTTCTTGTTAAAAATAATGTGTTTCGTTGTCTGCCATTTCTAGACTGAATCAATAATATAACACCTTTATCTGCAGCATTACACCGAGTTGCCTGATATTAAACGTGTCATTGTGAATACGCATGCTATTGAGCCACAGGTAAAAATTGTCTGTCTCAAACTCATGGTAAAATTGGACAGCACCTCCTAATATATTTTTTATGCCCAACCTTCTGTTTTCAGTCACTTGTTGAGTTTTTTGGAACTCTTTCACGAGAATGGGCTTTGGAGTGCATGAAGGATCTTTTGTTGGTTAATCTAAGAGGCAATCTTCAAATAATCGTTCAGGTAAAGTGTTGTTGCATATGGCATGTTCATAGTATTTAGTGAATTCCCAAAAGCTAAGTTGTGTGTGTGCAGGTTGCCAAGGAGTATTGTGAGCAGTTGGGTGTTGATGCCTGCATAAAACTTTTTGAGCAATTTAAGTCGTATGAAGGATTGTACTTTTTCTTGGGCTCTTATTTGAGCTCAAGGTAAGCTATTTAGCAAACAAGAAGATTACTTTGTCCTCAAATCACAGCTATTTTTAATATTTATCACTATTATGTTTTCTTTTGATTATGGGACAGTGAGGACCCTGATATACACTTTAAGTACATCGAGGCAGCTGCTAAAACTGGTCAAATAAAGGAGGTTGAGCGTGTAACCAGGGAATCGAACTTTTATGATGCTGAAAAGACAAAGAACTTCCTGATGGAAGCCAAGCTTCCTGATGCAAGGCCCCTAATTAATGTTTGTGACCGATTTGGGTTTGTTCCTGATCTCACTCACTACCTTTACACCAATAGCATGCTCCGATACATTGAAGGTTATGTTCAGAAGGTATGTTTGATATTCGCTACTATATGTTTTCTGGAATACATGAATCAAATTTAAACTTGATTAATTGAGAACGTTTTTGCTTGTTTTGATAGGTGAAGCCAGGGAATGCTCCTTTGGTAGTGGGACAGTTGCTGGATGATGAATGCCCTGAAGATTTTATAAAGGGTCTCATTCTCTCAGTCCGTTCGCTGCTTCCGGTGGAGCCCCTGGTGGATGAATGTGAGAAAAGGTTATTTTCTTTTCTCTGCATCTTCTACTGTTTACCATTTCAGTACTACGAGGTTCTTATTTTTCTTTTTGCATTTGGATTCCAGAAATCGACTTCGTTTGTTTGGAGCATCTTGTGAGTGAGGGAAGCCAAGATGTGCATGTCCACAATGCTCTGGGTAAAATCATCATTGACAGCAATAACAATCCAGAGCACTTCCTCACAACCAATCCTTACTATGATTCCCGGGTTGTTGGTAAGTACTGTGAGAAGCGCGATCCCACTCTGGCGGTTGTGTCCTACCGAAGAGGACAATGTGATGATGAACTTATCAATGTTACGAATAAGAACTCATTGTTCAAATTGCAGGCTAGGTATATAACTATTTTGTTCATTTATGATAATGTATTGGATCTTTGTTTTAAAGTAGCTTATCTGTTCATTGTTATGTGGTCATGGGTATGTTGTTGAGAGGATGGATGATGATCTTTGGGAGAAGGTTCTAAATCCTGAAAATGAATACAGAAGACAGCTAATTGATCAGGTTGTGTCAACTGCTTTGCCGGAAAGCAAGAGTCCAGAACAAGTCTCTGCAGCTGTCAAAGCTTTCATGACAGCTGACCTGCCCCATGAACTGATTGAGCTTCTTGAGAAGATTGTGCTCCAAAACTCTGCATTCAGTGGGAACTTCAATCTGCAAAATCTACTTATTTTGACAGCTATTAAGGCAGATTCTTCTAGAGTTATGGATTATATCAATAGACTAGATAATTTTGATGGACCTGCAGTTGGAGAAGTGGCAGTAGAGGCCCAACTATACGAGGAAGCTTTTGCAATTTTCAAGAAGTTCAACTTAAATGTTCAGGCAGTCAATGTTTTATTGGATAACATTAGAAGCATTGATCGGGCCGTGGAGTTCGCATTCAGAGTTGAAGAAGATGCTGTTTGGAGTCAGGTAGCAAAGGCACAACTGAGAGAGGGGCTGGTTAGCGATGCAATTGAATCTTTTATTCGTGCAGATGATGCTACTCAGTTCCTTGATGTTATCCGAGCTTCTGAGGATGCCGACGTCTATTCTGATTTAGTGAGGTACCTTCTGATGGTTAGGAAGAAGGTCAAGGAGCCCAAAGTGGATAGTGAACTCATTTATGCATATGCCAAGACTGATAGACTGGGAGAAATAGAAGAATTCATTCTCATGCCAAATGTTGCTAATCTTCAAAATGTTGGTGATCGCTTGTTTGATGAAGCCCTATATGAGGCTGCAAAAATAATATTTGGGCTTATATCAAACTGGGCCAAGTTGGCTGTTACACTTGTGAGGCTTAAACAATTCCAGGGTGCTGTTGATGCAGCAAGAAAAGCAAACAGTGCCAAGACATGGAAGGAGGTTTGCTTTGCTTGCGTCGATGCAGAGGAATTCCGATTGGCACAGATATGTGGTCTTAATGTTATTATACAGGTGAGTTTACTTTTATGTTGGATTACAATTTTCGCAAACAACTAAGTAGCTATATCTGAAGATTTAGTTCCATTTTCTTTTCCTCATGGTAGGCTGTAGGAGATTGTTTGTCCATGATTTTTACCATTGAATTTGTTTATTTTGTAGGTGGATGACTTGGAAGAAGTCAGCGAATACTACCAGAATCGAGGATGCTTCAATGAGTTGATCTCTCTTATGGAGAGTGGTTTAGGACTGGAACGTGCACACATGGGGTTATTTACCGAATTGGGTGTTCTGTATGCCAGATATCGTCCAGAGAAGCTTATGGAGCACATTAAGTTGTTCTCTACTCGTCTCAATATTCCTAAGCTGATAAGAGCATGTGATGAGCAGCAGCATTGGAAGGAACTTACCTTCTTATATATTCAATATGATGAGTTCGATAATGCTGCAACTACTGTGATGAACCACTCTCCTGAGGCATGGGATCATATGCAGTTCAAAGATATTATAGTCAAAGTAGCTAGCGTTGAGCTATATTACAAGGCTGTCCACTTCTACTTGCAAGAACATCCAGATCTCATCAATGATATGCTGAACGTGCTTGCACTTCGTGTAGATCATACTCGAGTTGTGGACATTATGAGAAAGGTTCCACTTTGGCAAAAAAGGATCTATTATTGGAATAAATACTACTAAATTACTTCATTATTATTTTAGTCATCTTGGATTGACAATTATTTCCTTATGGAATTTCAGGCTGGTCACCTGCGACTTGTGAAGCCATATATGGTTGCTGTTCAGAGCAACAATGTATAAGCAGTAAATGAGGCGTTGAATAAGATTTATGTAGAGGAAGAAGATTATGATAGACTGAGAGAATCCATTGACTTACATGATAATTTTGATCAGATTGGCCTTGCACAAAAGGTAAAGTATCGTTTTCTTACATTTTTTATATGCTTGTATGTCTGTTTCTGGTAACTTTTTCTGAATTACTCGAGTAGATTGAGAAACATGAGCTTCTTGAGATGAGGCGTGTTGCTGCATACATATACAAAAAGGCAGGCAGATGGAAGCAGTCCATTGCCTTATCAAAGAAAGACAACCTTTACAAAGATGCAATGGAAACAGCCTCCCAGTCTGGTGAACGTGAACTTGCCGAAGAGTTGCTTGTTTATTTCATTGAACAGGTACTAACTCATTCCTAAATATGGCTTTATACGTTGGTCAAGCAGTATGTGTAACTATGTTAAGTTGTTCAGTTTCACTTGTTCCTCTAGGATGCAAGTATAAAATGAGTTTCTTGGTAACCGTAGAACGGGACACAGAGAGTGAAATTTTAACATAGGCTTGTTTTTGCACAATGGGGATTTTACTTCCAAGTATTGTTACAAGAATGTTGGTTATTATTTGAATTGGATATAATTTCTGTGTTGATACTCTTTGTACAGGGAAAGAAGGAATGTTTTGCAGCATGCCTCTTTGTGTGTTATGACTTAGTTCGACCAGATGTTGCTCTTGAGCTGGCTTGGGTTAACAATATGATCGACTTCTCATTCCCGTTCCTGTTGCAGGTAGCTGTTTTGCTGCATCTTCAGTATTATTATTAGATTCTCTTTTTATTAGCTACCACAAACTTTTTGGTTTCAAGATCCTTAATTTCAAGATGTCGGGTTAGAACCTTAATCGATTTCCCATATTTTCCCAGTTTATCCGTGAATATACTTGCAAAGTGGACGAACTTATCAAAGACAAGATCGAGGCTCAAAAGGAAGTAAAGG